TGCAGTCCTAGAACTATGGAATACCAAAATTAGGAATTCAATAGCAATGATAATTCTACCATATTGTGCTAAAGCAATATTTTCCATTGGGTTTTGTTGAAGAATTAGTAGTTTAATATTGCTGACCAATCTGCCTAAGTATAAAATGCATGCCTATGGGATGTACTGCACATCCAAGTTAACATTTGCTGAGAAAGTTGCTGCTTCCTTTTTTTTCTAATCCTAACAAACAATATTAACTGCATGATTTTAAAATCAGTCCTGTTTATACACACTCTATATAGAATTCAGGCAAAATTTTATTGTACTTTCCCCAAGTTCTATTCTCAAGGAAACAACTTTTGCTACCAACATCCAGTTTTTATGGCTGAACTGATATAACAGCTTCTTTTGTCATAAAGGGCTGGAATTTTCATTCCATTTTCTTTGTGGGTTCTGTTGTCCCCCCCACCCTTCCCCTGCTTTTCTCTGCCACCTTAGCTAAGAAATACTGGTTTTCCCCTTGTCTTTGTTCTGTTGCTTACTGGATACTTTCTGAAGCAAATTTAGCCTTCTTCTGCCTAGAAAATTGGATTAGCTTAGCTCAGGCCTGACAAAAGGCACTGTCTGGAAGCAAACAATTTTGTTGCCTCAGGTTGTCACTCCCCTCATGTTTTCCACTTCTGAGTGACAAAAGAGCAATAAAACACTCAGAGCAAGGAGTACAAAAGCAGCTCTGGGTCCAGTGGGTGCTCAGGTGAAATTCTAATTTTTCAGCAGCTGCTAATAGGCTGCATGGGCCATTTTGGTAGGTGAGGATTCCTAAATCACTAAGGGATGATGGTCATTTCCTCCTTTATTTTTCACCCCGTTGCCTTCCCTTTTCACACTGTAACCTTCATATCTTGCAGCTGTGGTAGGACAGTGGTGCTGGGTCTGTTGAAGATTTCCACTTGAGGCAGAGGCATGAAACTGCTTTTTGTGTGACATTGTTCATACATTTTCCCTTTACTCAGGAATATTTCTGCAAACTCTGAACGCAGACTAAGTCATTTGAAAACATTAGTCATTAAAAACCAGATCAACCTGGAACAGCTGAGTAGTTAAACAGGAAACCTTTTATGAGTCGTCTGAGCAAGAGACTATAGGAGTGATCACAGCTGCTGAGTCTTGCTTCACCTCATTGGCATTGTGCTCATTTGTGCAGGAGGTGGAGACTTATTTTGTTAAATATGGTTTCTGAATAAGGCTACAAATCACAGAACAGGTATGTGCATGCTAATTCATTTAGCACCTCCAAACTTTTTTTCTTTTTTATTTTGATTCAGAAATTTGGAGTGTGAGCTAATGCCTATGGAAAAAATTGACAATGAAGTGTGTGTGTGTATATATATATATATATATATGTAGAAATTATTTATAATTCTTTTTATTTAAAAAATGGTGCATTAAAAAAACAAAGCTACTGACCAGTAAATAATATGGTGCAAATTGTGTTTAGGAATAGGCATTTGGCACAGGTGTCTCCTTGTGTAAGTAATCAGCAGGATTTCTGAAACAGGAAAGAATGTGGGCTGTATTCATTGTGTTTTTCCTTTGCCAGAATACATACCTACAGTGTGTTCAGAGTTTGTATTTTTCAGTGCACCCAGATGGCAATGTGCAAGTAGCAAGAAGTAGAGATAGGGATTTGAAAATCCCATGATAAAAGCAGAGATAAATTGGGTGGTGCTCTGAAAAGCCTGGGAGACACAGGAAAAGCAGAACATTGCTTGCTTCATCTCTGCATATACTCTTCTGATACTTGCATGAGATGTGATTCCACCTTGGGCTTCCTTGCAAACGAGTGGTGATGAAAGGGATGAGTACAAAAACCCCAGCAGCAACTAAGGATTTGGTTTTCAAAGCAGGTGTGGAATTTAAGGTGGTACTTTGCCTCCTACTGCTTGTGGCTACCCTCATGCAGAGAGAACTGTTCCAGGACAAAAGTCCAAGTCGTTGTTAATTGGCTATAAGAAAAGTTGGTTTAAATAATATTTTTGGTGTCCAAAGAAAGGATAGTTTCAAAAATATTGATATTTTGAAAAAGCAACAGGACATGTATTTCCAATTATCTACTTCATAACAATCATAAATTGCATATGCAATTATGATTAATGAATTCTGAGTAAAGGGAGAGGAACTGGGGAGAACAAACACTTAAAATCTGTAAAGTAAACCTTTACATTTCTATGAAATTCCAAATAAATGACTGTTTACACAAAATATGTGTCTGAAATAACAGCCTCTTTAGAATACAATGAAATGTGAAACTGATACCTTATTCCATCTGTTTATTGGAAATACCACACACAGTGATTTCACCAGGTTCTGGAGAATGAAAAATTATTTCCACTGATTTTTGTGCAAGTTGAGTCTAAAAGGAAAGAAAAAATATGTATGCGAACATGTCTTACAGAGGCCTCAAAGTTATGTCCAAAGGCCTGTTGCTTTTATTGGTGGACATGGAAACATGATAATATTCAGATGTTTAGGTGAACTAGAGCACAGCAGTTATCCAGGATTTGTGAGGGAAGGGGCAGCAAGTTTTAGGTCAAATCAACTTGGAGGCTGCATACAGTGCTTGGCATTTATATAAAGCCCAGCTTAAGGTTGAATGCAGCATTCAAGTTGTAAAATGGATGTAGAATGGGTAAAAAAACCCCTGCAATTACTTCAGTGATGATCCATTCAGGTTAAGAATTTTCGTCTTTGCTGTTGCCATAGCAATCTGTTCCCCTGTCACTACCACATTAAAAATCCATTCTGTAAAACTGTTGTTGCCAATATTGAACGTGTAACAGACAAGGAGATTTTTTTTAATAGCTTAGGTTCAACATGAAGAAGACCTAGATCTTAAAAAGATACATATGTTCTTTAAAAAGAAGATTAGAATTTCCATAATTCATTGCAGGAACACAGTATTTGTGCTGCAGTATTGGTGTCAGTATAAAATAATTTGCAAATAATCCAGCAATGTAGTGTCAGTTGAGCTCAAATAATTGAACTGTTCAGCTGAGATACAACAAACCCATATGTTCCTGAGTTAAACTCTTATTTTGGTAACGTGCTGTAGAGCTGAATGTGTCTTTGCCCTTCTGTTGCTGGTGGAGTCTGATTCTCTTCCGTGATTGACTGGAGTGATTTTACTTATCCTGGTGTAATTCTGGAGTGAGAGAACAGTTATGTCTCCTTATGTATCTGTGCAGCCCAGGAGAAATAGTGGGACCCCTGGTATTTCCAAGTATACCTTGGACTTCACTGTGTGGTGAAAGAAATCTCTTTTGGGATAGTAGGAAAATATAGATCCTGCTTGTGATCAGCTTTCTGTAGCATCAGTTGCAAAGTTCATTTTGGTATTTACCCTAAAAAATCGGAATCTGGGCTGAATTCATTACAATTCATGCTAATACTAAGCAGGAATTTGTGATAAGTCTAATAAACCCATAGCAGCAGGTGGCAGCTCAATTTCTCCTTCTCCCCAGACTGCAGTAATTCATGTTATTCTTGCCAATGTGTGAGGCTGTGATAGGGTAGAGAGGGCAATGAAGTTGCCATTGTTTTTAGTCCATGTATCACCCTATAAGGAAACTGTGGCAGAAATACCCCCGTCTGTTCCTCACCCTGCTGCCAGATCCTTAATTCCTAAAGCAAGGTGTGATTTACTTGTTTTGTCATCCATGGATGGAAATGCTGCTCTCTCTGCCCCCTTTCTCTCTTCTCTTGGCTTGAGACAGAATTTTAATGGAGTATATTTATCCATGGATAATCCAGGGTACTAGTAATCCATGAGTACTCAAGAAAAATTGTCTTGCATGTTTATAACCGTTCAACCCTCCTTGTTGTTTTAATCAGGCAACTCTTCTTCAAATGTTAATCTTTGCTGAATATGCAACATCACACCCCTAAATTCTCTGACTGGAGTAGCAGAGGTAAAAATATAAACACTCTAGGAGAAGTTTATTGAGAATATTCTGCCTGAATACACTTGTTATTTCTTATGAAACACTGGAGACAGAATGAAATAGACTGTTTTGCCACTCTCTGAGTGAGGTCTGAGGAGAGCATATCAGTATGCATATGACACAGTTTCACTTTCCTTGAGCTGATTATGTTATAGTTTCTTTACTACTGACAAATTTCATTACCAGATTGGGGTAATAATAGCATATTTTATCTTGCTGGCTGTGATCCGAAATCTTGGTTTAGAGAAGAGTTAAATTTAGGGAAATTCAGTTGAATCTATGTTTTCCTCCATATTAGCTATTTCTAACAGCCTGATAAGATTTCTGTTTGGTGACTGTCTCTTGCTGTTATAATGACAGTCTCATGCTAGCTCATACTGCTGTGTCATCCCAACAGCAATAACAAAATGCTAGATAAAAGTTACAAAACCTCACCTTTAGAATATTGGCCAGTTAGCCAAAGTATGAACTTTTGGTTAGATGGCTTCCCCATCCTTGGAAATGTCCAAGGCCATATTGGATGGGGTTAGCTGTCTTCTTTACAAATATAGCCCAATCATAAATTTATAAGCCATCTGCTTATTCCATCCTATCTTAAATAAGCTTTGAAAAAATTTGGTATACAACTGAGAAAAGGGTGACTAATAAAAATAAGCATGGATGGCAATAAATGCTGTGTTGGCCCAAATGGGTGTCAGCTGAATGTTGTGTGGCAGTGTGCTGCAGCAGATTTATAGGCAGCTTTCCGTTTTAATAATTCAGTATTTACTATTTCCTGAGGCACAGCAAATATCTCTTTGTGACCCTGGCTACCATGAAATGCATCATTGTACCAATACATGTCACTGTGGTGCATTTCAGATCTTTTTGGAAAACAGTCTGGTGCATAGAGAGCCTTCAGCCAGGGCAGCTGGGGAGAGAAAAAGAGCTGGAAGGGAACTGCTAGCTCAGAGAGATTCTGTCTGGGAAAGCTTTGCAATTGTTTTAAGCTGTGTTCAAATGTTTTTCTTCCAACAGACTTTGGGAACGATCACTGCAGTGCCCATTAAGGTTCCTCAGGTCAGCTCCTTGCAGAGGTTGGCAGGACAAGGACCAGCAGTGCTACCTCAGGTACAAAATACAGTTCCAAAGAGGGGGTGGTGTCCTTTTGTACATATTCTCTGCTTCTGTGTAGTGCCCAGGCCTGGGTGCATCAGCATTTTGCAGAGTTGTGTTTTTCTTCAGCCCATGAAAAAAAAAAATATTATTCTGGGAGCATACTGATATCACAATGAAAAGCTATAAAATGTAATGTAGATTCATTGCGGAAGAGCAAAATACATATGGTGAAATGTAAATTTATGCTTTAAAGTTGAATCACAAATCAAAGAAGTGAAAATCTGCAGTTCTGTAGTTAAAAGAACTGGTGGAAGTGTTAACCTTCCTGTTCAAGATTTAACCCCATGTTCTGTTTCACTGGCTTCTTTGCCTTGTCTATCCCAATACAAAGTTTTGGCCCAGCTAACCCAGGTGCCAAACTGAGCAAAGATTCTCTGAGTAAGAGTAAAAGGAGAGTTGCACTCACTAGTTTTTTAAAATGTTTCAACCTGTCTTCTTTTCTGAACACCACTCACTGTTTCTATAATTATGCATTTTATTCCCCATTTCAACCCTCTTTCTCAAAATTTTTGGATGTCAACAAGTGTTTTGCTGCAATTCTATGGTTTGCTCTTCACATTGGTGATTATTAAGTATAAATATATTTCTCCCACTGTGGCGCTTAGAGCTCTATTTCTCATGTATGAAAACTAGAAAAGTGCTGAAATTGATGATATATAATCTTCTTCAGTCACTTGCTGCCAGTCCCATGACACTCACCACCACCACATGGGTGGCTGTGACAGTCACATTCTCTGGACAGAGAGACATAATTCTGTATCTCAGGAGAAGCACAGAGAGAAGAAGACAATCTTTTTCTCTGCTCCTTTGTTCCCCCATGTGGAATGTGGGATGGAGATTGTTTAGCTGAAGTGATGGCTGGATTGGATTCTGGTGAAGGTTGTTTGGGTTTGATGAGCAATTGGATCCAGCTGTGGCTCAGACTCTCAGTAGAATAGTATAGTATTTCTTTAAATAGTATATTAATATAATATAGTATAGTTTAATAAAGCTATCCTTCAGCCTTCTGATCTGGAGCCAGACATCATTTCTTCCCTGCAGTCAGGGTCTGCTGCATTTTTACAACTGGTGGCACCATTCAGCACCTCTCCTCATGCAGGGCACCAAAAAGGAGAAGCTATTGCCATCACTTTTGCTCTTCTGTTCAGCATGGCTGGCTACAAGTGGCTAAGCAAGCAGAATTCACTGCAAGCCATGGCAGCTCCCAGTGCCAGGATGGCCCCCAGCAACCAAGCCAGGGCAGCCACCTCCCTACACCTCAAAAGAAAAAAGAGGAATTGTACATGCTTTTTCTTTGTCAAATATGTCATCACAGGGGCATTGCTAACTACATAAATTGGCTTAGCAGCATGTCTATTTTCATAGCCAGCCTGCAATTGGTTTTTTCAGGCATGCAGAAAGCTTCTAGCAGCTTCCCACAGGAAAATCACTTCTGTGGCTGGCTTCTTCCCTTCTCGCCAAAAAATCAAGCCATGTAAAACCAACCCAGTGTTCAAAATATTTATAACATTTTTAATAAAGAACTCCCACCTGACTGCCTTATGCCAACATCCACAAAAAAGCAGAGCTGGCAGATTCCCACTCAAACATCCTTCTCAGCAAAACATCCATTTCTGTAGTATCAAACAAAGATGAAGGAGAAGAAAAACTAAATTAGATTGATTTCTCTTCTTAAAATCTGCCCGGGGTTCTATTAGCTGCATGTCACCTTTACACTTAGGTTAGCTGTCCATGACTAGCAACTGAAATACCAAATCATGGCAGGTACACAGCACTGGGAGATGCCTGATGGAGTGTGTGCCATTTGAACACGTGTGAAAATCCTCCTGAGTGACTCCTGGGTTGTGCAGCATGTGAACTGAGAGACCAGGGTTTGTTTCGAGGGGCTTGTTGCAGTTCTGGCCTTGCTGAGGTCTGCTCACTTTTGCTATTTTGATCAGATTAAGGTTTCTTCCCTGGTCTGCTCCATCCAGAGCAGCAGGATTAAAAATGTGGGCTGGAGCTGCTCCTTGGGTTTTGCCCTGCATTTCACAATGTCCTTCTGTAGGTTCACAGGCCACTGTTCCAGGGATATGCTAAAGAGAAGCTTAACTTGTATGTGAACATGGGATTCACTTATTCCGGGTCATATTGCCTGGGCTTTCTACAATTAAGAGTAACTTCTTTTTTATGTAGCCCCATCAAGGAGAAGGAAGAAAATAAAGAAATCTTCCCTGTGGGAAGAAAATAAACTGTTTATTTTGACAGTGGTCTCAGACCAGGCTGAAGATAATAGGAGCTTATTGGGAAAGGAACTAAAAATGAAACAAGATGCAAACACATGTATTTGAATGAGTGGGACAACCTGGATTTTAGCAAGTGTCACTGCTGCAAATTTAAGGAGAAATTTTTTGGTGGCTAATTTTAACTGATAAAAAAAGAAGAGGGAGGGAGTCAGTCCTCAGCTGGCATAAATAAGCACAGCTTTACTGAAGGCAGTGTGCATCTGTTCATTCTGGTGAAGGATATGATTACCCCATATTGCACTCATTTTATCAGCCATTGCTAATGTTTTCTGTGTAATCCTCTACAGTTTTCAAGAATGAAAGCTCTGGCTGCTGCTCCCAGCACTTTGCCTCTGTGACATATGAATTGTGCCAAATCCATTCTGAGTTTTTGTTTTCAAGCTCTGAGTACAAGGGTGAAGTGAAAACAAAGTGTGAATAATAGTCTTTCTCTCAAAGGCAATGTGATATTGTGTTGAGCTGAAAAACTTACTTTCATACAGATCAGCCCTGCTAGTATGAAGGACTGATGGATGCTGAGCACGATCCAGCTGATATCTGATACAGGGGAAGGGGAGGGCTCCTCAGTGTTGCTGACAAAGCTATAACAAGATACAGGGAATGGAAGCTGAAGTTAGGCAAATTCAACCTTGCTATAAAATGCCAGTCACAAGCATTAAAAAAAAAAAAAACAAACCAAAACATTTTAACAATTTCCTCATTAAGAAGTCTTTAGTATTTTCTTTTAAAATCAGTCTTCAGTTTCTTGTGGAATTATATGGCCAGCCTGTGAACTGAAGGGTCACAGTGATCCCTTTTGAGTTTGTAATTGAAGTACACTGTGTTAACTTCCCTTCTTTCCCAGGCCTGAGGGAGAACACATTTACCAGAAATGCCCTTAACAATTCTCATATCACCTGCAGATTGTCACAGATGCAACTGCTCTAATTAAATCCTGTCCTTTAGGACTACATAGGATTGCCCACAGAGATTGGAGGAGCTATGTGACTTTCCTCCTTTCTCCTTTTTCCCCATACCTGTATAGGTTGGATCTTGAGGACTTCTCAAGAGTAGAAGTTCTTGGTGTAGAGAACTCTGTGATCAGCTTTTTCTTTCCATTTAGAGTCCCACATATTCAGAGAATTTCTTTTCTCTGTGTTGGGTTGAGCAAGACTCCGAGAGCGATGTACATCCCTGACTGAGTTATGGGAACTTGGCATTGAGATGTGTCTCTTTAGTGATCTCAGTCTTGGATGGTTATCAAGATGATCATCGCTTGGGAGCTCCTAGGATCACCTTGGGAAATGACCCATCTCCAGTGAGTTACGTTTATTTGTTTGTAAATGAAATCCTCCTCCTTCTTGTAGCAGTTTCGACATATGCGAGGCAGCCCCTTGTACTCAGACTCGCGTGCTTGATACAAGTATTTCTTGGCCATATAAAACCATTAGGTGTATATCACTTTATAGGCACGAATTACCCATATTACACATGAGAATAAGGTCCCAGTTCGGTGGCTGTTCTCAGAGCAGAGGCTCACCCCATGCAGAAGCAGCAGCTCCGGCAGTGGAATTCCCTTTCCTAGCAGCTCTGATCATCCTCCTCCAAAAACAACTGAGACAGGACCAGCAACTACACCCAGCCCCTTCCCCCAGCCCGAATCCCCCCAGTGTCCCGAGAGAAAACCCCCCAAAAAACAGAATTCCCCCTTTGTCCCAAGCACCCAGCAACCAGCTCCCACCAGCAGCTCAGTGGGAGGAAATTCCCCAGGAAATGGGTTGCCCATGATCATATTTTCCTGTGTCAGCAGTGACACACATCAGGCTCTCCCACCTGCAGCACTCAGCAGTTCATTCACCTCTGCAGAATTCAGCAATGTGTGCTTTGGAGAGCTTGAATGACATTTTGGGGAAATGGAAGCCTTTGAGTTTCATATAGGGACATCTGGATGGAGCTTAATAATATGGGATATACAAGAAGTCGTGTTAGTCACAGGAGCTGATTCTTTCCTGATCTGAAACTCTTTAAGATATATTGAATTAGAAGTTGTTGGACAGCAGAGCGCTCTGTGCATCTCTCATTTCCGTGTCTGAGAAGCAAACAGCCGCCACCTAGTGGGTGCTCAGACTGGAGAATATCTCCTGGAAAATGTGCTCACCTGCACATCTGAGAAGGACCGGTCTGAGCCCTTCCACAGGAAAGGAAATGAAATGTTTCTGTTATTCTGGATATTGAGGAAACTCAAGAACAACAATTAGGCTGCAATAATATATTTATATTTTATACATATAATGTTTAGGAAAACATTATATTCAAGAAGCAGCTCTCTCTTCTGTATTTTGAGCCCTGGTAGTATCACGTTCTGTTTTGACAGCTGTCAGAAGTTAAATGAAAGATACTTGGGGAAAGGAGTGTTGAGCTACAGGAGAATTGTTACTTGCCACACTTGCCAAGAGTTGAAGTGTTCTTTTGGTAACATACATGCTATTTCTTTTTCTTTCTCTTTTCTACTCTTTTGCTCGACTTTGGTGCCTTTTATTTCTGTAACTCCTGTGACTAAGACTGGTGTCTGCTTTCAGTAGAAAATTACTTTTTGATACTCTGTATGTGCAGGGCAGTCCCTGTCCTGCTCTAGCTTTATTCTACCTCTTCTTCAGTGATTGCCAGCTTCCAAACTTTTGCTAGTGCCACTGTCCCCCTTTCATCTCCCAAATTTAAGCTACAGTTTTACCATGAGGGAAAGGAATTTATGCTACCTTTTCCCTTCTTTTTTTTCTCTCTCTTCCTAGCTGATATCATTTATCTCCACAAATAACTGTGGGATTTTAGGTGACACTCTGCCAAAAGTCTTTCATGCAGCTATTTATTAAATGTTTACCCTTAGTGTTTATATTCTGAGGGGAACATTCATAGGTGTTGGAGCACAAGGGGCTTCTACATTTGCCTTCTTTTTTGGATTCACACTTGCATGTCTTTGAAATAAATGTTATTTTCACTGTAAATTATTGTAACTTCAACTCAGGAGTACCTGAAACTTTTGTTTCTCTAGTCAATCCTTTTTACTGCTCTGTTATTGCAAATAAATATGGTCTCCCAAGGTTAGGTAAACTTGGGAGGGAGTTTTCAGAGGCTTAGTCCATGAAAGCAGCTATCCCTCTTCTGTGTCACATGGTGGCAGAAAGTGCTCAGCATATGCTCTGTGATGTACCAGTTTGGTATGTCCTATCAGATAATTTCAGTATGCAGCACTTTATAAAGAATTTATTATTTTGGAAAATTAAGTTTGTTTCATCATCTGTACAGGCCGAGCTTATTTTGCAGTGAAGTAATATGTGCTCATCCATAACTTGCAGGATGTGTATTATGGGTGTGTGTAGGATTCACTGAGTAGATCATGCAGTAGAAAAGATAATTATATAGCTGGAATATATATATATATATAGGCATTTAGTTTTAATTACACTTTTGATTAAATATAGAAGTGCAATTAAGAGTGACAGATACAGTAGATCCTGGTAGACTACATGACAGTTTTTGGCTGGAGGAACTCGTGAACTCATGGGTTTAAACCAATGTATTGTAAATGCAAGTGAACCCAATGGGAAGAAATGACAATGTCTGACTCAGTTCAGAAGGCTGAATTATTTCTTTATTATAACTATGTTAAAATACACTAATATGTTATATAAAAAGGAGCTGTTGCAAAGCAGGGCAAAGTGTCCTCTTCCATTCATGGAAGTTCCTCCTGCATCCACCTGCAGCTGTAAGTTAGCTTTTTAATAACTTCAACAAAATATGATGTTTGGTGGTTGTGGGTTTCTTGTATCCCTCTCTTTATTTTATTTCTTTTTTGTGAGTTAAGTGATTGTGACTGATCTCCTCTCCATTTGACACGGCTTGTCTTAAACATATGAGGGTGTTCATTGACCAGTCCACCGGTATAAACTGTGGATCCAATATACAGGGACTTTACTGTCCCTGTAAATGCTTTCCCCCAGCTCCCTTAAAGATTCATCTCCCTCTTCTGAATTCATAGCAAAAGTGTCCTTCAGAACAGAAAATGTTTGCATCTGAGCTTTCCATTCTTTGCCAAGACTTTGGCTTACACATCGCTACTGAGAAACAGATGTGACTTGACTAGCATTTGTATGGATGTGTACTAATCAAAATAAGGACTTGATTTTCTTCTCACTTATTGTTTAGCATTGCAGTGAGTTAAGGACTTCAAAATGGTCCAGTTGAGAAGGGCTGGGAATATATCTACAAGTAAATGAATGGTTGGCTACTTGCAGTTGCTACATTCTGTTTTTCCAGATGCTCCTGGTCCATGGTGAATGCACTTAGAGATTCTACTGGGACAACTCGTGTGCGCAGAGTTTGTGCCTAATAACACCTGACTCTCTTGTTTCTAGGTTAGGCCAAAGACCCTGATTCCAGACAGCCTCCCAATCTCCCCGTGCCGAGACCAACCTTCCAAGCAGCCTCCCACCTTCCAGAAGGCAACCATAGTGAGCATCAAGAACCCCAGCCCTGCCCTCCCGACCGCCAACAACACCGTGGGCCATGCGCCAACGCGCGCCAGCCAGCCCCAAGGCGCCGCCGAGCCCGCGGCTCTCTCATCGCCTCTGAGCGGGGCCGGCGTGGCCTATGCCATCATTTCCACCTCCCCCAGCCATGCGGGCCCCCTCAGCTCCAGCGCCGCCGGCCCGGGGGGCAGCGACGGCATCCAGGTGCAGCCGCTGCTCATCAGCGCCGACAGCAAGGTGAGCGCCGCGGGAGCAGGGCCGGGGCTGCTGCAGGCACGGCGGGACATTGCCCTGGGAGGGCACAGTCAGTGCTGGCTTCTCAAAGAAAACAATCAGAAAGCAATGGGAAAATTGTTACACAGACACAGAACCTAGCAGACTGTTATCTGTGTACAAGCCTGTTTTTTACCAGGAACAAAACACATTATGTAGGCTGATACTAACGGGACCGTATGAACTTCTCTTTCCTTAAGCCAATTCTCACTTATAAAATCCCTGATTTTATTACAGGCTCAGATTTTCTATGTACGAGCAGGATATTGCCCTGGGAGTGTACAGCCAGTCAGTGCTGTCTTCTTGAACAAAACAATCAGAAAGCAATGGGAAAATTCTTACACAGACACATAGAAGCTAGCAGACTGTTATTTGTGTACAAGCCTGTTTTTTACTGGGAACGAAATACATCATTATGTAGGCTGATACTAACGGGACCGTATGAACTTCTCTTTCCTTAAGCCAATTCTCACTTATAAAATCCCTGATTTTATTACAGGCTCAGATTTCCTGTGGACTCCCTCTTCAATGATACAATGATATTCAATTTATTGACTGACCCCAAGGAGTACATAAAATAATCAGAGATTCCCTTCTGCTCTTTCAGGGGAAGACCAAACAAAATGAGATCTCAGGGTTTCAGAACTGACCAGGAGAAGAATCAGTAAAAAGAAAAAAAATTCAAGCTATGAATTACTGCTTTCATCTTTGTACTACTTTTCAGCTTTGGAATGCAAGAACTTCACCACTCTTATACCATAGACAGATTCCATACAGGCTGCTAATGTACCAAGCTTCTGTATTCACTGTAATTTACTGTAGTTTAATTATTTTTTGAATGAATTACTGTAATTCACAGTAGTTTACTACTGGGATCCTGCTACTTTTGATCTTATTGGCAGCACAAGTTCTCATACAGCACTAAAAAAATATATAGGATGTAGGATGGCTTTTAAGGTAAATAAAAGCAGACATCTCTTCCCCATTTCTTTGACATAAATAATTTTTCTCTTACTTAAAATGACTGCTGGCTCAGAAAACCATGCCTTTTAATGCTCTTGAATTTTCTAGAGCAACTGAGTTGAGATAATGTATCTAACACTTAAATGACATTGACTGAAAATGAGCAACGAAGTAGATGGAAAAGGCCTAGTGATCAAATCTAATAATCTTTATCTAGAAGGCAGTAGTCCTTGGGAAGTTCTTTGGAAGCTTCCACAGTCCTTTTGATTATAGGTATGAAGTAATATGTGTAGTTCTGTGGGCAGAAACTCATTACTTTTAATTTAATAGCTTCTAGATAATGTGACCTACATCATGTAATTCTTCATGTGATAATTCAAATATAAGCAGCTGGATAGACTACCATAAATGTGTGAATGAGGTCTGTGTCATAATCCTATAGGTTCTAAACAAGGCCTAAATTTAATTTAAAAAACATGTAGTTTATTTAGTTTACAGAAAACTGGACATCTGCTGCTTATAACATGTAAAGGCTGAGGTCTGAAGTCTGATCTCAGTTGTGTGAGGAGTTCCTTCTCTCCCATCCTCATGTACTTACTCTGAAAAAACACTGCTACAACTGAGATCAAACTGGGCTTGAAAGTTTAGTAATCCCATCTCTTCTACTTGTACACAAAATAAAATCAAAGGAGAGACCTTAAAATCACTAACACAAATGCTAAAGCATGGTTTCTCAGCCACCATCACAAGTCCTCTAAATTTAAAGTGTCCTAATTTTCAGAGGCACTGATCAAATGACTTAGGCTGTTGCAGGTTTATAATGCACCAATAAGAATTAACTTTTAGAAACCTAAGTATGGATTTAGGACCTTAACCTAGGTATCCTGTTGTTTTATGCTTTTGACTTGTGACTTACATTTCTTATACGTAGGGTATCAAGTAACCCTTCAAAGAGGACTCAGAGGTTTCAGGCAGAAATTTTCATATAGTGAATTCTCTTATTTGTGCATTGCCTTTTAGGTTATCATTATTCAACCTCAAGTCCAAACCCAGACAGAAAGTAAACTGGAGACAAAGAAATCTCCTGAAGAGTCATCTCAGGGACTGCCTGCTACCAAAAAGAAAAAGGAGGAAAATCCAGAGGTGATTTTTTTTTTAAATTTTTAATAAATGAGCTACAATATGGTTAAGTTATAGGGCCAAATCTAAACTTTCTTCCCTGTGCATATGCAATTACTTTATTTGTGCTTATGGGTCTGTCAGCTGTTCATCTCTCAATCTCTGCAATCAGGGTAATTTCTCTGTCAGAGAGTGCCCTGACAAATTTGGTTTGCACCATTCAAGCCTTCCACTGTCACAAAACGTAAGACTTGGAGGTCTCATAATACCTAAAGGTCTCATAATAATGTAGGCACCCCATGGCTGTAGCTGGATTTCTTGTGAAAAGTGTATACAAGATTAAGATATTTCATGTTACCAAACATATAGCATCAGATTTAGAGGCTGCCTATGAGGTGGAATTAACATTTCTTTAGTAAGCTGAGCTTTTAACATCTTCTTTGTAATGAATCTTGAGATTTTTAGATTGTATTAATAATTTCCTACATTTGCTGTGTACATGTCTTCCCATATGTACAAAGATTCTAGTCTGAAATACATTAAAATCCTTTAAATTGAATAAGAGAGTAGAAAGCAGGTAATGAGACTAAATCTCTTTTGGGAATTATAATTTTGATTTAAACTAGAACTATAAACTGTAATTCTTTGTAGAAATGGGGTCTCTAACAGACATTTTGGGTTTTGGCTGGCTATGTTCACATATCTTAGGTGTAATTTTAGGGCAGTTTGAGAAGTTATACAGACTGAATCTTCTTTTGTGGAAATGCTCAGCTCCTGTGAAATCTTAAACCTCACTAGTCTAATAAATGTGTAGCACAAAAGCATCCTTGGAGATGCAGGTGTAGGAAGATTATTACAATATAAACTGTGTTACTTGAGGCATGCATGTGGTCAAATTTTTCACCATTTTAAGAGGTTCATATGGTTAAAAAAGTATTAAGGATAAATATTTTAGCCCAAAATATCACAGCTCTATGTAGAAGCTCTGAAAAACTATGCTTGGGAAACCTCCCAAGTTTAAAATCTGACCCTTATATCAATCTTCATTACCATGAAATGATGGGACTGTAGAGTGCTGTTTTGTTTAGGCAGGTATTTCCAAAAGCTTCTTTATTTTGTAGCACCTTATGGGCAGAAAGACCAGTAGGCCCTGTTCAGAAACAGAATGCTAGGAAAAAACATCTATTTTTCTTTGCCTGGAACTTATCCCCATGAAAAAATAATTAATAAAAACCTTCAGAGAGATGCAGGAGGAGGCATTTGGACTGGGCACACTTTTGTTATGGGATTAAAAAATGTCAGATTTTCATTACATTGCTAACTAGAATATCTCAATGACCTTTTTCTAACCACAGACACTGTTCCTGTTTACTGGAGGTCTCAAAAACCTCAATTTTCTGGGTAGGGTGCTGACACTGTGCCCTAAACTATGACAGTTCTTTTCATAGATTTGTTGTACAGCCATAAATAGGTCTAGAGTTAATTTCTTTTGTTCTTTGAAAGTAAACTTTAGTTGATTATCATGTATTTATGCAATTAGCGTAATTAGAACTAACATCATAATTAGTATAAATACATGTAATGACATAAACAGAACATGTAATTACAAAATGAAATGCTTTTATGAATATCTTTGTTTTGCTTCATGAAAAGACATACTGTGTATTTCTAAAAGCACTCATGGCTTAGAAGCAGATGACTAAATTTAAAGCAAAAACAGCATGGTATTTTTATAAAGAAAACAGGCACTCAAGGCACTTCTCACTTTTATTTATCTTCCAAGCTGAAAACTGAGGCAGGAGCTCCAATATGGCTCTGTACAGAACTTGGGAGAGACTGGGATTTAACAACCCACACTGACAATTCGAAAGGAGCTAAGCAGAAATAACCAGAGTTCCAGTACCCAGGAATCCCACATGCAGGTCCTGGGTGTTCCTGATCTAAAGAGAAGGGCAAGGATCATTACTGTCCTTAACTCCTGCCTTGGTCATTCTGCTGCTCAGCCCTGAAGCTCATCATGGACTGAGGGGGAGGAGGAGGCACCCACTGCTTCCCATCAGTGGGGTGCACCTGGGGATGGAGAGTGATGATGATGGATCCAGTGATGGGCCTCCTCCCACCAGGATGACTTCTGTAAATAATAGGCAAATTACAAAAAGGAGCTGCTCCTCCAGGGAGAAAATACCCTGGACGTTGTTTGTTGTTTGGGGTGGGTGAAGGGTTAATCTTTTCTTTTTTCTTGAAGAGACCCGAGTTCAACACAGAGAGAGAAGCATAATTCTGCCAAAACAGTTTTGATCATTTAAAATTTCCTATTAGCAAATTATCTGGCAACATTTTAATTCTAAATTGTTTTTATCTAAAAGAAAAACTACTGCCCTAAATACTGGTTATTTAGTTACTGGTGTTCTAATTCTTCCTAAGCACAAGAGAGACATATAGCAGTTGTGAGCTAAAATGCTAGAATTAAGCCTGGATTGAAAATTTGGAGGAAAAAAGTCTTGGTTTTGCAACTTCCTGTGCAGAGGACAAACAATAGACCCTGCAATATTTGAAATGAAAGTTTTGCAGTGGAAGTCAGATTTTGAGTTGAATCCAGTGAGCTGCAGGGGTGTGAAATAGCAAAACCCACAAAAACAAATAGGCTGTTAATATAATATGCTTGTTCAAAAGAATACAGCTCCTACTGGGATTGTTTTAAGAGGAACTGTCTTTCAAGTCCCCATAAAAGCTAACACTTCCTGTGTTTAATCATGAGATTAAACATTATCAATTATCAAGTCTACTTGTGATGGTTCTTCATATTTTAAGCAAGTATGTTGCATTTAGTTAGATACACGTTCAAACAATTTCAGCACAAAGAGAGGACATTGTTTAGCAAACATTCCAGTACACAAATTCCAGCTGAGGCATCAGAAAATCTGTGCTTTCCCTAGAGTTTAATGCTGGGGTAATGCAAGAATTCTGCATTCCATTGAGAAAACACACATTAACTATTCCAGCTTCCTGGTTCTATCCCTAAATATTGTTACTACTTTTGCTCACAGTGCTGAGAATATCCTGCCAGTGTTACTTTTATTACAGACTAATTTTGACTTGGAAGTGTTGAAACATGTTCTCTTGACACTCTTTGAATGAAACAATGTTTTGACCTTCTACTGCTTAAACACTGTGTTTTAGTTGGACCTAAACCTAAACATTTTATTTGAGGTATGATAATTGCATCTTCCTGTGGCCTTTGTACACTTCCTCAGACTTGGATTGTGGGTTTTGCTTGCTTGGATTTCCCAAGAGCTTGAGTTTCATAGTCAGATTGTCTCTCCTGTGGAATTGAGCCTCATGAAAATCTAACAAGATCATTCAGCACAGCAGAAAGCCCCAAAAGTACCACAAATGTGACTGAAAACAAGGAGTTCAGTTCAGTTTATGCTTGGAACAACACAGTGTCATTTCAGTTTTCATCAAAAACATGCAATAAAAACTTCAGCAAAACATTTCTACAAGGAAAAATTTTCCAGGGAGAAACCACTGACAGAAATTTTAGAATCTTCTCTAATACTTGTCCTATCACTGCATCAGCATGTTCTGAAGACTTTTTGGTATGAAGCTATGTTTTGTGCATATATAGTTTAGAAGAGTTGTGAGTAATATTTTAGATCAGATTCTGAGCTGCAAAATGAGTTCACCAGTGTCAGTGGGAGATGTTTGTTCACTCCCCACTGAGGAAAAATATTGGATCAGTATATGTCTTCACAATCCATAGACATCATGTTATTTTTAAAACTTGGGAAGAGAAATTTTTGGGAGTTTTTTTGGTTGGTTGGTTGGTTTTTGTTTTGTTTTTTAATGGGAGGGGGCTTTCAATATGCTTCTGATGTCTTGTTCAGTGGTGTACAATTCATACTTGTTTCACTTCATACAGCTTGCTCATATCCAATAAAAGCAGCGTGTCATGTCCGGATTGTAAAAAATAATACAAAATTACTTCACTAAAGGATTGAGTAGCAATCCAGCTAGCAATGTGAAATTGAACTGATTGAATTGAATATTGGTCCTGTGCTGTGTAATATCAGTAGTCATTTAGCATTGCCTTCAGACACCTTTGGCCTGCTTGAGTTTATATAGTCATACAAGGAGAACCAGGCATATCTCAAAGTTAAACCAGGCAAATCTTCAGTTTAAGTTCTTTACATCACTATGCATCCAAATAAGATACATTTCTAAAAGGCTTTTGCTGGATTCATTCTGTCAATGCTAATTTTATTTATTTTCTTACCATGATCATTATAGTAGAAAATCTAACACATTTATTTTTTCCTTAGAAAATTGCCTTCATGGTAGCACTAGGACTGGTTACAACAGAACATTTGGAAGGTAAGGTGGCATATGTTGATTTACAGTTCAGTTTTTGAGTGAAATCTTTTCTGTTGGTTTCTCTGCCAGAGCACATTACTGAGGATTGTGTTCAGATGGCTTTTGAATCTCTCCAGAGAATGAGATTCCACAGCCTTTCTGTGCAATATGTTCAGTGTTCTGTTAGCCTTCTGGAAAAGCAGTTCTTCCTCATGTTCAGGATGAACTTGCTGGGCATCAGTTTCTGCACATTGCCTCTTGTCCTTTGCTGGGCATTGTGGAGCACAGCCCAGTCCATGCTCTGATCCCTGCCTGCAGTTATTTATGCACATCAAGATTCCCTCTCAGTTCTTCCTTCTCTTGTTCTCAGAAGGGCAGAAAGCCAAAGAAATGAAAGTGAAAAAGTCAGATGAAAGGTTACCTTTGCTCAGGTGTGCCTTTCAGTCCCACAGCAGTGGGTGACCCCATGTAGTTGTGCCTCCCACTCCGTGGCAATGCTCAAGCCCCCAGCTTGGCACAGGCTGTATTTGGACTCACTCACTCATCATGGTCCTTTAAAAGATGTTAAGACCTGGAAGAAACCAGGAAACAAAAATCCTGCAAAGGCTCTGAGCACCACTGATGTGGTCCATGGATCTGTGAGGTTCAAATATGTTTGCCCAGATATGCAGCAAGTGTCCTCTGCTCTCTCCCATGTGAGACGGACTTTCAGTTTTTGAGTTGGCTGTCTGTCACCTTTAGAGTTCCACAGAATGGTATGTAAAATAGTGGTGAAAATCTGGCATTTGTTTCATAAGATTTTACTTAAGACTACTTCTCACAAAGAATTCCTTCCCTCTAGTTTCCCCACTTAGCCAAAACCTTAACAAAATTCCCATTGAATCCTGTGTTTGCATGAGAGCATCTAGCGTGTCTTCTCAGGCTCCTGAATATGAATTCAAACAAATGTTTTACATAAGCTAAAATCAGCATCACATCCTTCTTATTTTCCTTCTCCAACCTTCCAAAAATAGCTTGCAGAAGTCAGCAGAATTGTATATTTCTTTGCCTCAGCTTTGTTGTTCTGAAATTATAGATGAGAGGCGGGGGGGGGGAAAGAGTTTGTTTAGCAAATTTGCCAGTGGCATGAGACAAGCTGGGGAGGCAGAATAGTTCTCACGGACAGAGATGATGCAGATATTGGAAGAAAAGATCTGCACCCTGATGGTTTTAGTTACAAGCTCAGCCACAACAAGCTGGTGTGATTCTACCAGTAAAAGGAGAGAAAACTGGTATCTGTGTGTGTCAGCTGACAGTGATTCTTGATCACAAAAAGTGTTAATGGCAATTGATATTTATCACCCATCCCATGAACCATAATAAACAAAATACTTAGGAATTTCCAGTGCACTGAGTTTAAGTTTTATGTGCTTTAGACTTAGGAGCATGCTTAGCTACCTCACTGTCTCAAGGTATCTACCATTTTTAGCTTGATTTCTTTTTACTGAGATTTTCAGTTCTTTGGTTTTAAGACAAGTTGTGAATTAGTGATAAAATACATCTGAATTGTAATGTCTCTTCAGTATATACAGCAGGTTTCCTGTGGGTCTTATTTCCATTTTTCAGTGTTCTTCCTCTTTAAATCTGCATTTTTAATAATAATTTAATGTCCCAGTGACCGAGAATTTGAAAGCAGTTAAAAGAAATTTTAAGCTTCATAATTTTTAATCTCTTAATGGTCATGGATTGAAATAGAAATCAAAAAGCTACAAAAATTTGGGGAGAAGATTTATAATCCAAAAAGTGCAAATGATGATTGGTTCTTGTTTTCTTTGTCTAAGGAAAACAGGACAACATTTGAAGTTACGTGGAAGTACAAATTATGCTTACAACAGAGAGGACTTAATTTTGAATAATTCGATACGCTCTGATTTTATTGGAACTAATAAATAGTTTGTGTGGATTTATTGCTTATGTTCATAATGCCAAGCAGTGCTCTTCTCTGTTCTACACCAAGTGTGGAGATGCTCATTTTAAACCAAACTGCTACAACACTCACCATGCAGAATCAATTCTTGAAGACAAATTCACTTTTTATATTTCTACTAGCATTAAATAAATGGTTTCAACCAAGAGCTATTTACAATGGAAAGGGTATTTCTTCATCAGAATTGGTGATTACAGCTGTCAAAGATTTCCTTATAGCTTTCACATGCTAAAGGTTATTATTTTACTGTGTCATGTTTACAGTTATCAGTCATTGCTATTTATCAGGAAGCAGCGGTCATTACAAAGTTCAGTTTATTTTAAAACTTCTAATTATTTCTCAATTTCACATTTTTGGAATTTAACTCTATCAAGATTAGATCATTAAAAGCTTATTCATTTAGTATCTCTAATTCATAGTCTTGCAGCTTTTGTTAATTTTATTCATTCATTTTCTGGTGAAGGGCTGTGAAACACTTCTATGTGTATTTCCCTATCTGCCTAGAAGCCTTTTCATCTGACCTTCACCCAAGCATTCCCTGCCTGGGAAAAGAGCTCTGTTCTGCAGGGCCCGAGTGTGAGACATCTTTACCAGTAAATGAACACAGCTGCTTCCACACACTGACAGTGTGCAAGGTACAGCTTTCCCTGAAGATAAATTGCCATCACAGGCTTCACAGGATGGCCATGCAGAGTGTTTATTTGTGGAGGCAGCAGCTCAGTGCAGTTTGACCTCCAACATAAAGCTATCTTTAAGTTCATTCATCTTCATCAAAAGTATTACAGTTTAATTTTTCCTGTTTGGTTTCTGGGGTTTTTTTAATTGATAAGCTAAGGAATAAGATAGCTGAATTCTGTGATGCAGTGCATGGTTGTAATATACTGTATTTCTTTCTCTAGGCTATTACAAACACCTTTTAGTATTACAGTTTTGTAAAAAAAAAAAAGGTAGAAAGCAAAACTTTAAAAGAAGGACCTTTAGTTCAGGTAATTCTAAGAAAGCATATCCTGGTTGACCTAGATTACTGAAATATTTATGATTTCATCAATCAAAACAAATTTAATTTAACTTTATTGCATCCTGTTCTGAAAAGTACACAGTACTTTTTTAGCAGAAGTAACAAGTAACAAAAAATAGCACACCAGTGTAATATGCTATTACTTTTCATCCCAGCCAGCTCTTATCTCTGTACCATAGCAATGCCTCTTCCAAAGCTGCATTCCAAGTATCTGCCATAGGTGTGATTCAGACCCCACCAGGTATTTTCAAATGTTACCTTGGTGAAAGCATGTACCAAAGAAATTTTCTCTTTAACTTGGGACCAAGAAGGACAGAGAGCAACAGAACCTCACTGTACTTTTATGAGATGCTTGGCCCAGTTACATGCAAAGAAAACTCTGCTGCATTGAATTGTGTTTCTTTTTCTGGGCCATTGAAAGTCCCAATCTTGTATCCCTGTGACCACTTTTGGAAGACCAAGCCTGCCCTAGCTCCAGTTTTTTCCCTGCACTGCTGTGGCAGTGCTGAGATGCTGCAAGCCCTGAATTCACTGATAAGGGTCCTGAGCTGGCTGCAAGAGCCACAGCTCCAGCTCACACTGCTGAGACCAAAGAAGAGAGTCAGCCAAGGGCCACTGCCTGTTTCATTGCTGCACCAAGGCTCCTCAGCTGTGACATCTCTGTTACCTGTGGGCCTCAAGAGCATTTCACTTAGAACTGACACTGGCATCAAGAGCAACATCTCTCTTCTGTGGCTTTGAGAGGATCTGCAGTAGCACTCACCCTGCTGCTGAGGCACGATTCCCTCCAGATGCCTTCAAAGAGCCTGGGAGCTTTGGATGGGCATTTCAGCAGAAACACTTGAGCATTTCATAGGAAATGTTTTCACAGAACTGTTTCCCAGACAAGATCCTGTGTTTTGGAATCTGCATAGTGTGAATTATGTTCATGTGATGATGCAGTGGTTGCAGCTGAGGCACCTCACATCTTAGTGCAGCTTCAGATCACACATTTCTTGGTGGTGAAAGTTTAGTGGGAGGAAGAAATGGGCTGCAGTCCAAAGAGCCTGTCTGTGTGCTGGTGTTTGCAGTGACACATACACCCACATATGACTCAAAATGACTTTGCAAGCTCAGGATTATGAAGTTGTATTCTGGGGGATAAGTCATCACACCCTGGTTAGAACTGAATCCAGCTGTGCCATTTCAACTATGCTTTTTCTAGCGCACACGGAGGCTCTCTGATGGTGCTTGCTGAATATGTGTCTGAAGAGATCATAATAAAATTCTTGTAGGGAAGCAGAAGTCTACCTTGAAAGAAGAAAAAAAAAATGCCTGTGAATCTCACAAGGAAAAGCTTATTAATGTCAAACCTTGAACTACAGCAAATATCAATGCTGATGTAACCCAATTATACCTTAGAAACTGAAACAGAACACAAAGCTCAAGGGGCTGAGGGTAAGATCATCTTCCTCACAAGTCATAGCTGCATTTTTCCCTGATGAATGAGAAATACACAATTTATGCTCCTTTCCCTGGTTACAGAAATCCAGAGCAAGCGTCAGGAAAGAAAGAGAAGAAGCACAGCAAATCCAGCCTACAGTGGGCTCTTGGAAACAGAGGTACTTTATTATTCACTTTTTTATCACAGTTCTAGTTCATATCAATATAAGGTCTAAGTGTTAGTCACTACAAAAATATATATGAATGCAGAACCACAGCTACTTGTAAAGAGATCCTGATGTAGAAAAGAAAGAAAATATCTCAGTGTCTAAGCAACAGGTTTTCACCACACAACATCACTTAGTCCAAACTAGAATTTATCTTAGTTTTAATAAAGTCTGAGAGAACTAAATTAATGTGGGACCTAATTACTCTTTTATTTACAAAGGCAGTTCCCTTAGTTCATAACTAAAGAACAAAAATGCTACATTATGTTCAAATGTACATTGCTATTTCTCTTCTTTAAGTGCCAAATAATAAATTCTATTTTCTTATGTGCTAAATTATAAATAATTTTATCTTTGCTTTTTTAAAATGTGTGACATTCGTAAAAGGGATGTGTTGGTTTAAGAATCAGTGTAGTCTGCAGAGGGTATAGAAATCGGCATAATAAATACAATAATGCATTATTAAAAATAAAATGCCCTGGATAATCTCTGTTGTCTGTTACACTTACACTGTTGTATTTATAGTAGTATCAGAATTTGGTCTTGCATAATATTGAATTGCAAACTTGGTATAAAAGCAACATATAAATAGGCGTAACTTTTTCTGGATTTTTTTCTTTTGTTTCTAAATTAACATATTTGCATTTATTCAGCTAATTAAAATTTCACGTTTAAAATTTCAGCACAGTTGGGGTTTACTGTCTGAACTTTCTACTGGAATGAAACTCAATTGTAGCCAGCTCTCCATTTAAGCAAGGCTTCTCTGTATTCTGAGTTCTCTAAAACTAAAGAAAGTGATTGTTCTTTATTTAGGCATAAGTAACACAGGATTTCTGGTATGCCAGTATTTCAGATTTCTGTCTTCGTTGGCAGATAGCAAACAGATGAGGCTAAGAAGAAACACAGTGCTGCAGCCAAACTGCTGAATTGCTTGATTGTTCTTTTTTTGAAAGCATTGGAGATTTTTATACTCCAGAGCAGCTCTGGGCACTTGAGTTCTTCAGAATTCCTCAACTTTTTTTTTTTTTCAGTGCAAATACTGATGTCCATATGTGCAGTATTTAACAGAGTAGGAACTTTAGCCTTGCTAGCATTAAAGAGCTGTAGCTCTTTAGACATTTTTGTCCTGATTATTAAAATACTTGCAGCAGAGTTTTGTGGCTGTAGCCAGATTGGTGTTTGGGACAAACTCTATTACCTTGGAGAGGTGGAAGAGAAGATAGCCCAGGTCTACTGCACCCCTAGTTCATATTTCTCATCATATCTATTCTCAAAAGCATATGCTTGAATGAAGGATGGCATGGAGAAAGAAAAGTCTGTGAAGGGCTCCTGTGGCTGATCAGCTGCATCCTCATTAGGAGCTGTCATTAATTACTGACCATGGGGAATGCCATTCAAGTCAAATGGAGGCAGATGTTTTTTCTCTAATCAATTAGCTGCTCAGACTGATTTGCTAATCAGGGCGTTGAGGTATTAGTGGCATTTCAGGCATTTGGGTGCCTGAAATGGTCTTTAATTCATGATTGTTTAAATGGAAATTGCATATAAATTACACCTTTTATTTGCCAACATGCCTCAAAATGGAAGGAGCTCAGCATTTGTAATGGTGATACTAACTTTGTCTGCAAAAAATATGATCGTGGTCTTATGTCTTCATTTGTATGGTGTGCTTTTTCTTCTCAAAGCTTTCTTCTTAAAGCAATTGAGATTCCATTTTATTTTCGTACCCTTAGTAGCCTTTTCTTTTCATAGGAAAGGGTTACATTTTGGGCTGGTTATTTTTTGAAGGAAGAAACATCTATTCAAAGTTCATTAACAGACTGGCAGGCCCCTGTCTATAAGAGAATAGTTTGTTCACCACAGAATAAATAATATAGCAGCAAAACCCCTCTTTCAGGGGTTTCTTCCAGGCTGAATCTAACAACATCTAGTGGAGGAAAATGGAAATGGGTGGCTCAGAGGAACAATTTGGAGTTGTCTAGACTGTTAATGAAGCTTGGCTTGCTATTGACCATAGCTTGTGCAGTTAGACAAGGCTGGCCATGGGCTGTGTTAGGTGAGTTGAACATCTCAGGTTTGCGGTGCTCTCTGTTTGTAACCTTGGTGATCTCAGCAGATTGAAATCACTGCCAGCTCCTCAAGGTCCTGCACATTCACTTCTGAAAGGGAAATATTTTGCTAAGGCACTTACTTGTTGCTTGCAAATGCAGTATGTTCCTCTGAACTGTAGGCAGGTGTCGTAAAGGTAGTAGTGTTTTTCCTGCAGAAAACAGAAATATAGAAATCCATCACCATTTCTATACATACAAATAAAAATGTCATCTCACAGCAACAATTTTCCCTTATGGACCTTGTGGGGCTTGGAGTTAGTTTTGCAGTAGTCTTGCTCTTACCAGCCCATGCAACATCCTCCAACCCCATCAATAGCATTACAATTTGTATTTCTCTCTTCTTAATAAAATCTAATGCACAATAAACAGCTACACGAAAAGCTTGTTAGGAAGGTAAATCATGCAACTGTTTGTCTGACTGTGTCAGTGGTCTCAAAGTAGTTTCTGGAGAGCTGGTTAGGTATGAGGTAAGCCCATGGAGGTTGATAATTTGAAATGTCAGAGACAGCCAGAGCACTGCAGTGACATGGTGGTTGGTTTCTTTTCCCTTCTAGAGGAAACGCCTCGCATCGAATTATTTGAATAACCCCTTGTTCATTTCAACGAGAGGTAAGCATATTTTTAAATGAATATACTACTCTTCTAATGATGTATTAAAAATTTATTAGTAGGACTTCATATGAGTTACTGCTAGGATACCACAAGGCATTACTTTGTGTAATGTCTCTGTATTTTTTTAATATGGAGTGAAAATAGATTGTTTTCCTGCAAAAACAATGGAAGGATAAGGCTAAAAACCACAATTTTACAGGGACAGATCCAAAACCTCTGCAATCAGTGGAAAATCTGATCTCTGGCACTGTTTTGGTTTGAAAAGACAGGTGTCTGCTAAGGAAGGCAGGAGCCTCCCTTGAAATGGAGAATATAAACCCTCTCCCTCTGAATTATTTTAATATTGAATTTAGGGGACTCTCTGGCAAAGATATGGGAGCAAGAATAATAGTTCTTTATTAGGGGAAAAAAATAGAAATGTAGTAAAACAAAACAACACTGACAGAGTCAGAATACCAACCCCAAGTACTTAAAAAAAAATATTAAAAATTAATTGCTATTTTAGGCTTTTCATTTGCCTGTTTACACCAGCTTTAAGAAACTGCTCTCCATCCTCCAGCACCAGAAATGTCCCACAGCTTTTGCTTCAATAACAAGGGCTGAAAGCCAATCTTTCTGATTCCAAGAGGTAGAGTCATAAATCTAGACCTGATGACCTTCAAGATGCCTTCCAATCTTGTACTTATAAGAACTTGAAATCTGAAACTTAATACTAGATTGAGAATTAACAGCTTGAGAATTAACAGCTCAGAGGAGCCATTTGGAGATGCTGATGATTAGCTCATGGGAAGAAGGACATTTCAGGAAAACATGTGCAACACAGAGAAGACAAAGAGTTGGGACATGTGGGGTGAAACACAGAGAATGTTGAGTATAGTTTAATTCTTCAGACAAGACCCAGGTACTATTTTAAGGAAGAAAGTGAGAAACTTGTATTTCAGAAGAGGAAACAAAGCCAGTAAAGAAATTTGATTCTGTCCTTGCCCTTGTTTTGCCTTTCTACCATTTTCTCTACTGAGATGCATTAGAGGTAAGGGAAGAGAGACCTTTTTCTAAGTTAAATATTACTTCAGTGTTAGGAGCATTTGCAGAGGTAATTATAATTGAGACATGAAGTCTTGACAGTGTTTGCTTGATCTCACTGTCAAGTGGCATGTTTGGTGCTTGAGATTCACCTTTCTGCCTCTGCCTTGGCTTCCTGCACCACAGGAGCACCCACTGAAAGGCAGCAGTGCTTCTCTCTGCCTTCCAAATTTCACATGCCAGATACAGACACTTGGCCTATTTACCATATGCATTACTTTACTTACCTCATATGCATTTGGTGTCAGAGGACAGGAGAGGTTATTACAGTCAGCAGCTATGATGACATGCCTCTTAGCAGGAAGCCAGGCTCATGTGAGCCCCACTGGAAAGAATAGTATTTCTGTCTTAGTTTTATGTTCAAAATTAAAATTGTCATATATTGTTTGTGTTATCATAGCACTTGTTTTTCCCACGTAAACACGTGTGAGAAATCAGGACACAATGGCATTGTTAGCAATTTGTGCCTCCAGCCCCTTGGTGGGTTTAAGTTAGGTTTGGATATCTCTGACCTTCCTTTCATTATACGTTTCTCATTTTATTTGCAAGGAAGTAGGCAAGTGACAGGCATCTGCTGTTGCAGCTGTCTGTGAGCTTCCTGGAAATCAGCAGCCTCTCTCCTTAATCATTAATTCCTCTTTGAGTCCTGTATCTCTGGTTTTTCCAGAATCCAGAATATGTGCTGGAGTTCTGAATATTCTGAGAATGTTGAGATGGACTACTTTATAGCAGAATTCCCCACCTCTGCAAGGATTTTTTTGTTTTTCTGGATGCTGTGCAAGCACTGAGCAGAAGGCAGATGCTGTCCCAGACTGCTTGGCTCTGCAGTGATGCAGTGCAGAGATGGCTGGCCTTCTCTTATAAAGTGCCCCTTTAAAAATATTGTCTTCAGTTTAATTTCTCAGCAGCTAGAAGAGGGAAGTGGACATGTTTTAAGAAGTTTAAAACTTTGAAGCAAAAGTGAGCTGAAAAGACAAACAAACTAGAAAAAAAATCCCTATGATGTCCAGGGAACAACAGTCATTTCTGGAAACACAGAAGAAGACAATTCTTGTAATTTTTGATCAAAATGTTAATTGATCAGGATTGATTTAAATGAAAACGTCTTTTCTGAAATGAGGTCACATCCCCTGACATGTATCATTTGTACAAAAGATTCATCAATTATCAAGCCTCTGTTTATCTGAATAACATTGATATCCCCTGAGCAATCATTGTGTCATACAGCGGTGGACCTTTGTGTGTGTATTTTTGGATATGAAGTAACATCTACACATTTTATAAGCCTGTGATTATTTATGGACCAAAGTATACTAGAATTTTCGGGAAAAGCAGAGAAATTTATGGAAGAAAAAAAATCTGTCAAAGGCTGTTAAATATAAAAAATGCAGGTGCAAGCTCAGTGTTAGGGCAGCCCATAAGCTGCCAGCATCAGAAGGATGCTTCTGCATTTGCTCAGTGTTTGCCCTGCTCTTGCACTGGGTGCTGTTAGCAAAGGACAGGGATATTCAGCCTGTGGTCCAGCTTAGGTGAAGCTGTTTCTGTATCCTCGAGTTCCTCTTCCTGCATGTGTGTGAGGCCTGCTCACGTGTACATCTTCACTCGTGTGCACACATCAGTGTGTAAAACCCGTGTGTAACGGAGGGAGGGGACTGCCAGGTGGGTCTGATATGAGGGATCACAGTGAAACATCCCCACTCTGATCAGAGAGAGGCAGCTGAAGAAGGACAGGAGAGAAATATCAGTTTGGTTGCCTCCACTTTAATCCAAAGAAAGGCCTGTCCATTAAGTGTTTCTCACTTAATGTGCTCCAGCCCCTTGCAAGAACCCAAGCAAACAGCTGGGTCTGTGCCAGGGACATATTAGGCTGGATATCAGGGAAAGGTTCTTCCCCCAGAGGGTGCTGGGCACTGCCCAGGCTCCGCAGGGAATGGTCAGGTCCCAAGGCTGCCAGAGCTCCAGGAGACTTTGGAGAACATTCTCAGGCACAGGGTGGGATTGCTGTGTCTGTGCAGGGCCAGGCGCTGGGCTCAGTGATCCTGATGGGACCTTCCAGCTCAGGATATTCTGTGATTCTATGAAATCAGCAGCAGAAATTGCAACACACTGTGCCGTTTCCATAAAGCTCTTAATTTTTTCTGTCTTTTTATTTTTGGACCAAAATGTGTTGAATTCCATTTTTTTTTTTTTTTTTTTTTTTTTTTTTTTTTTTTTTTTTTTTTTTTTTTTTTTTTTTTTTTTTTTTTTTTTTTTTTTTTTTTTTTTTTTTTNTTTTTTTTTTTTTTTTTTTTTTTTTTTTTTTTTTTTTTTTTTTTTTTTTTTTGTGGAAGGCTTGGCTCTCTATCCAGTGAGCTCTATTGGTTCTTGTTCATACCAGGTTGAATACAATCAGTACAGATTCAGTTCATCCAAAGGTCCCTGGTGTTCTGGGTAGTTTGATGAGAAGGACTTGGTGATGCCATCAGGCTCACTCCTACAGGAGCTATTTTGTCCAGGAATCAGCTCAACATTTAAATCTGTTTAATGTTTAATCTGTGTATAGTTGGAGGCACCTATTTCATGCTCCACTTTGCTGGTTCAGGGCCAGCCTTTTCAGCACCCAACATGCTGTGGTCCTTCAGGAGGACTTTTTGACTACTGGCACGTAGAGAGGAGCTCTGCATGAAAATTTCTGAAAATTTCAAATACTATGATGTTGTAGCATCAGACCTTTGGACATGGTGTTCCTGCAATGCACATTTTTAAATCTCAAATGCTAATTTCACTGCTTGCTGTTACATTCTTTACTGCCTGCATTAATTTTGGCAATGTCCTGATCTCCTATGCCACATCTTGATTAAAATTACTCCCACAGCTGAGAACTAGCAACTGCTGCAGCAATGTATTTTCCACTGATCTGTTTTCTGCCCTTCTTTTACATGCTAGCAAATGAGGATTCATTCTGGAAGGTATGTGTGGCAAAGTTTGTGTATTAGCAGGTATCTTTCTCATCACTGTACATTCAGTGCTTGCTTCTGATTATTGTAGTCGCTCTCAAGGTACCCAATTGCAGTATTCTCTTCTCCCACTTAACTAAATCTTTGAGTTCCTAAGCCAGAATTTTAAAGAGATGAACTCTTAGGCTTTCACATGCAAGGCTTGAGTTTAGTCCCCTTGTTGACTCCACTGATTAAGAAATTGCTAGTCCAGATTTATGAGTTTAGTGAAAATTTGATAAGAAAAATGAGTAACCATTCTAGTTTGTAAAGATTAAATCTCTTTATATTGCAGTTGAAATTAAGATTATTTGAGCAGGTAGTTTATAAAGAGTAATATTTTGGAGAGTGAATTTTTTGACAGAACTGGTTTAGAATTCAAGATACAAGCTTAACTAAAACTGCTGTGAAACTTTTTAATTACTATTCCAAAAAATGAAAGCATGCTTTTGGAATTAAAAAACACCATAAAATTACTATTCTGCTTCCTAGAAAAGCAGTAGGAATTTTTTTTTTGGTAATGATTCACAAGGCATGAGAGTATGAGAATCAGTGTCTCCTTTATTAAAAGGAGTAATTAATGTTGCCACTGGATTAGCATAGCAATTGACATAGCATGACATTGCAACTTTGCTAATGAGTCTTAGTTCGTGTTGTGTATTGCTTCAGACAAAGCACTAATCAGTCTTGTTGGAGAAAGGTTGTCAGAGCAAGTCTGAGCAGAGAACAGTTAGTGCCAGGGAGAAAGAGGCCAGAGGATTTCACAAAAGAGGGTATATAGCCCAAGCATATATATATATATATATATGCTCCAGCCTCCTGTTTCCCCAGCTGCCCTTTGAGGCAATGGGAATGCAACTTGGAACTGTGCATCTTCCCCAGAACCCTTTTGTTGCTGCTTCCTTCTGCTTTGGGCATGACAGACAAGTGATCCCCACATTTACTCTGATGCAGGACAGAGCCGTGCACAGGGATACATGTGTTGTGGTAGCACACTGGCAAAGAAAACAAAGAAAAAGGTGAAATAATTCCAATATCACAATCTGGCTATGTTAGTCAGCTCTCTCCTGTGTTTGATTAGCTGGGTTTTATGTTTCTGTTTCAACTTACGTAACTTGCTTCTGGGTCATTTGTTGTTTGCATTTTTGCTCTCATCTATCTATTATTTCTGTCTTCTGTGTCTGTCAGGGTCCTTTTGACAATTAGATTTCGTGTTTGAAGGAGCCTGTCTGCTGCAGGAGAGGCTTTGAATGCTGTGTAGAGAGAAGTTCTCAGTGGACTGACTTTACCCAGGGCACCCTTCTCTTGCAGAACGAGATCCAGCACGATGAGCACTGCGCCGCCTGCAAGCGTGGAGTGAACTTGCAGCCCTGTGGCACATGTCCCAGAGCATATCACCTCAACTGCTTGGACCCACCCCTCAAAACTGCCCCCAAAGGGCTCTGGGTCTGCCCAAAGTGCCAACAGAAGGTAAGCCACATGCAGCACGGTATATCAAGAAGGGAAAACAGGAGGCGCCTCAGATCTGTGTGCCCCTAAACAAATCTAACCTATGGTCATAGCTCACTGGACTACGTCAGATAAAGAAGTACTGAGAGGCTTTAGTGAAGTTTGCAGTATTTATTTCTGGTATTTTTCACCATCCTAGAGTTAGAACATACAGGGAGTGCTGCAGCTTGCCTGTAATTGCTAAGAATTGTCTTTAAATGTCTCTTCAGTTTCTTCAGCTCCTTTGTTTTCAGTAACAACACCAGCATGTAGCCAGACAAAAGAATGTAAATCTTAGAGAAGAGGGAGGCAGTGTCAGAAGAAGACACTGTTTGCACAAGTAAGAAAAAAAATATTAAAACACTAAAGTGTCACTAAAGTGTAGAATCTGTGCCTTAGGGTTTCTTGTGCTTAGCCTCGAGATCACTTCTATGTTCTGAGACAAGGACCCAAGTTCTGGTCCTGCCAAACTGTAAGGCTGGAGCAAACATTAATGGGTGTTATTTATTTGAATCCTAACCATTTATTGTTTCCTGGGCTTATAGGTTTTAAAGAAAGATGACAATGTGCCATGGACTGGAACTCTGGCTATTGTTCACTCCTATGTTACTCATAAAACAGGTAGGGATTAACTCAGTCACTCACAAGGGATTTCTCTGCTCATGATAGCAGTGCTACTTGAGTCCTTAGCTGAAATATCAAAGTAGTGTTATAAGGTCTGATGGTGTAGGTCATAGGGCCATAAGTGGCTGGGGATGGCAGACTTTTCCTGTCCCCTTTCCCTAGGTCTGCTCCTTTGCTGTCCTCCCTCTGTAAGGAAGCTGAGAATGATTTCTCAGGAATTTCACTCTTCTGGAGGAAGCTGGCATCAAAGTGGTACCTTCCCTGGAACAGTGCTGAAAACAGGATTACGAGGCAGAGTCAGGCTAAGCAGAGCCATGTAATTGGGTGTGAACACAGTGCCAGGCTGGTGTCCCTGGCCCCACAGCAATAGCAGCTTTTAATTCTTTCAGTCTTCTGTGGTATGGCAGCCACTTGAGTCGTGTGCTGTGTGACAGCTGTGCACTGAGCATTATTCTTTTTTAATTCCCTGTTGCACTCTTACAATAGGCTGTTGGGGGCATTGGATCATATTTGTAAGGACCTTTATGCAGGTCTGGCACACTTATAATTGTGCTTTTCTGCCAGGGTCACTAGCTATTGCCATTCCAAGGGGCTGACCTCTTCCTAAATACCACGCACCTCTTTCTTGGAGACTTCCAGGATTACATGTAGTCTAAGGATTAATTATAATTCACCTTAAAGGTGCATGTACCTTTTGGGTTGTCCTCCTGTGTGCTAACCGTTGACACAGACACATACATAGAATCCCAGAACCATTTAGTTTGGAAAAGACCTCCAGGTTCATCGAGTCCAACCTGTAACTGATCCCACCTTGTCAACTGGCCTAGAACACTGAGTGCCATGTCCAGTTGCTCCATGGACACCTCCAGGGATGAGGACTCCACCACCTCCCCAGGCAGCCCCTTCCAATGCCTGGCCACCCTTTTAGTGAAGAAATGCCTGCAAGCAGAAACTCCAGATTTCTTTGTCTGTGCCTGCTGACAAAAGGCTAAACTCACCATGCAAAATACCTGCTTCAGCTTTCTGTCCTCAAGTGCACAGTACATCCTTTTCTTAACCTCTGCATCCTTGTTTATTGTTCCACAGTCAAAGAAGAAGAGAAACGAAAGTTACTAAAGAGAAGCAGTGAACTGAAGAGTGAGCATAGACAATTAGAAGAAAAAGATCGACTTCTCAACAGTGCAGTGAAGGTAGGACACCTGATGAGGACACAGAGTCTCCTGAAGAGATGTTCATAAAGAATTTAAGCCCAAAAAATGGTATTTTGTGGCTAGAAAATAATTCAAGCTCCCAAGCAATAGATTTTCAAGTGTGAATGTGTTTCCCTCTAAGGAAGTATGTGTGCATTTTCTTTATGCACGAAATTAAGCCACTCTGGCAGGCAGAGGAGGAGAAATCACTTGCATTTCTGTGGCAAAACACACCCAAACAAAACTCCACAAATAGCCATGGCTGCCTTCCTTGTAGTTGCATCCACAGCTCTGAGGTACCCAATGACTTCAAGGTACTTCCATCCTCTAGGTGAAAAGTTTAGTCACAAGCATGTCATCTGGGGCTCCCTCCATCCTGAGAAGCAGGTGTCAGTTTGTGTGGCAGCCCCAATAAATATTTGATATTACCTTACCCTGGAAAAACCCAAGTGGCAGCTTCAGGGAGTGACTGCTTGTTTTACCATTCCAGTTATCCAGAGGAGGCATGTTAAAACATTTATCACGTAAAACAGAGTGGAAGGAAAAGAAGTAACTTCATAAAAGACATTGCTGTATATTCCCTGTACATGTGTATAGCACTAATGGAACCACATGTGTATGTAATAGGTAGGAGAGTGCAGTGGGCTGAGGAATTTGGGAAAACAAAAGCCATCAGCTCTCAGGTGTGTGTCATGGCTGTCAAAATCACTAAGATTTCTACCTAAGTAGAATCAGGTTCTTCCAGTGGGCAACACTGTCTTATTTAAATGGTAATATCAGCCAATGATTATATGTATTGGAAATGTATCCACTTGAAAAAAGAAAATAAATTAAAGGTGTCCCACACAGAGCAATTCCATTCTGACATTTTAACAGAGATTTATATGAAAAAGAACAGTCATACACCCCACAGCTGCAATGGTAAAAACAGAACATAATTTAGCTTTCACCTGAAATCGCATCTCTCTAAACCAACCTCCCAGCAGCTCCACGCAGTTGCTTTCTGAACAAGTTGATTTTCAAGTGAGCAATTCCCAATTTCCCAGTTCTGGAGAATCCTCAGCCCTGGGCAATCTGGGCCATAGCCAAAGAGAAGCAATCTGCAGCCAAGTAATGGGTTTGGTCAGAATCCTGGGTGCCCTGGGAGACAGGAAAAGGTCTCAGGTTTTAGAGGCTGCTGTCCCCTTTCACCTTGCAGACAGGCTCAGGTTTGGGTCTGTCCCTCACTGAGGAATGGGGTGCTGGATGCAGCAGTCCATAGGTGGGGAGGGAAAGGAGGATTGCTGATTCTTCCTACCCCTTCTCAGAGAAATAGAGGATTTGGGATGCCTTTGTTTAGCTCCTACTCTCGTGCCCATTTGCATGGAGGTTTTTATTTCAAGAGAGCACAGGGAGAAATTTGGCCACCCTCAGGGATGGAAGCTTCCTTGTGAATGCTCTGATGTAACAGTTGCATCTTGGAGCAAAGTTTTCTGCTGGAAAAATATTGGTATCATGTTGAGTGAGATTGATGTGTCTTCACAGTGCCTATTCCCTGAAATGTGTGGCACGTATGAAATGCAGCCTGGTGAGGTTCACCAGCCAGACATTTATCAGGGTCCTTTGGTAAGAGTGAAAGACCTGAGTGGCACCCTCTGTATTTTCAGTAACACAGCTGTTGGGCTCCTGTGCCTGGCATCTCTGTGGCATGCAGAAGGTGTTCCTGCCAGGCTGTCTAGAGGATGGAGTTGGAAACATCCTCCAAAAGCATTTCACCTGGGAAGAGTATTGTTCCCCTCAGACAGCTGCTGCGACGTGTGCAGCGCTGCCGATTACTCCATTTGTTAAGCTGTGGTTTTGCTTTCCCCAAAGGAGAACATACTTCATGTGAGCACAATGAGCACCCAAGGAACCAAAGGATGTTTGGAGAGGTGTTTGACACCACTTTGAATGTATTCTCAGTCTTTCCTTCTCTCTCCTCTTCCCTTTATTCGACAGAAATGCTTAGAGTTAAAAACCAGCCTGATGGCCCAGCAGAAAGGGACTCAGTCGTCACTGGAACGCCTCAAAGCCCTCATTAGACTGATACAGAGCGAGCAGATGATTCAGGTTACCATGACCACCACCACCACCACCTCCCTGCTGGCCATCCCCTGGATCAAGCCCTCGGCTGCCTCCGCTGCCGTGCACAAAGCCTTGCAGCCCTCCCAGGGCAACAACTGACAGGAGCTGGCCATGAAAGCCCTGGGGACAGCGAGGAGAAGCACACGAGCAGGGAGAGCTGGAGCACAGGCCAGGAGCAGCACTCCCAGTTTTGGTACAGCTGGACACTCGCAGCCCGCTCTGCGGGTCACCGTGGCAGCACGTCCCCACGGGGCGGGTCCTGCCGCGCTTTTGTGTTTGCCAAGACCTTCAGTGCTTATGAAATTTGCTTTGTTGTGTTGGCCTTAATGTGTTTATGGCTGAGGATGAGCTGGAAAAGCGTGGCTGGTAGAGGAGGCAGGATAGCCTTTTGTGGTGGCAGACGGGAGAGGAGTAGGGAGGTATTAGAGAAGTAGTTGGGCTGAAAGCTACGTGTGTGGGTGAGAGAACCAGAAACTGAGCTACTAGCACTTGACGTGGATTCCAGAGGAACAAATCCGGCCCCATTGATTCAGGTGACCTGGATATGGGGTCTTGGTGACCAGAACAGCAACGTGGACACTCACAGAGCCTTGGAAACAAAAGATCTTTTTCTTTTTCCATATTATTAGACTTGAGAATTGCAGATATTTAAATAAAGAAACTGTATGAAGTTAGCATTTCTAGTCAAATATTGAAGTATTTTCATGCTGATGCATCTGTATATGCGTTTCAAAATATTTTAAAAATACTACTGTAAAACTCCTTTTGCAGGTCCTTTTTACTTATTTTACTATCAGTGTATTTTTCTCATGGAATTTTTGTGCAAGGTTTAGCATCAACCATAACAGTGGATATCTTTGAAAGTTTGGGTATAATTTTTTAAAGACAGTGGTTTTCTGTCTTTTTGTTCATTTTAGATTATTTTTTAAACAAACAAAAAAGCAAATAAATATTCTGGGTTTTGTTTCTTGTCAGTACAGATAATATGCCAAAAAAAAAAAATTTTTTTTTTTTTTTTTTTTTTTGTTTTTTTTTTTTTTTTTTTTTTTTTTTTTTTTAGTTTTTTTTTTTTTTTGGTTTTTTTTTTTGGTTGTGGGATTTTTTTGGTTGGTTGGTGGGTTTTTTGGTTGGTTGGTGGGTTGATTGGGGTTTTTTGTAGAAATATCTGCTGAAATGGTACAGGGAAAAAAAAAAAAACTGCCTCAAGGTGTTGTTTCTCAATCTGGAGACTCAAAACTTCTGGGGGAGGACAGGACACAGAAAATCAAAAAAGTTTGGGAGGGTTTTATTTTTGGAAACTCGATTCCTTGGTAACATTTTGTTGGATTTTAGCATATTTAGGACGTGTTAAGTGTTAGCCTGAGAAAATTCCAGTGCACCTGCCTGTTTACTAGCTGGTCTTCCTGATTCTGCAGGGCTGCCTGGGCAGGTGGGGGTGGACACCCCCTTTTTCCCAGCTCACACCCTCCGTGCCATTGTCGCTGTCCTTACGAGTTCTCCATCAATTAGCACAACTCATGGAAAGCCACCAGAGCAGGACACAAGGCTGGTCTCTCTCATCAGCATATTACATGGTGCCGAACAGCCTTTTTTGGTTTTAATTTTAAAAAGTAAACACGTTGAGGCACTGGGCTTTTTCTGTTGCCCAGAAAGCACGTGGTCCCTTCAACCATTTTCACAACTCCGGGAGAAACTGTGCAGTACTATACAAATCTATTTTAATACACAACACTCAATTGAACAAGATTTTTATATTCTTTTACTGATGAATAGAGTGAACTAAGTAAAACACAGTTGTTATACATTGGTTAATGTATGCAATTATGCATTCTGAGTGGCTTGCAATGTAGATGTTTTCAGGTTTCATAATTTTTTTTTCCTTCTCAGACAAATAAAAAATAAAGGAAAAGCGTAGAAGATTGAATATGTGAAGAATTTCTGAAAAAATGTCTTCAACTGTTAAAAGTAGTTATTTTGAAAAGGGGGCTGTCCAGTGGATAGTGTGCATAGAAAAAAAAGAAGTGTTTGTCTTAAATATGCCAATGTAGTTTTACTTCTTTATGATGCATTAAACTTGACTGACAATTTCCTGGCAGTGTTGTGGTGGTCTCTGCTGCCCAAGGCCTGTTGAGGGACCCCCTCCCTGGCCAGACTCTCTCGTGGGGGTGAGGAGGGGGAAAGAAACTGGTGCTGATTTCCCCACCACTTTGCTCCATTTTCAAACTTAGGCCCTGCAAGAAGGAGTACAATACTTTCTGCTTGCTTTCTGTCAGAAAGGTGGCCTCTTCCATCAGGCCACCGTGTCTCCCAGGCAGAGGCACCCTGTCCAGTGCCTTGCTTAGCTTCCCACCTATTGGAATAATTGCTGATCCACCAGACCCCTGGGCTCTCCTTTCACACCTGCACTCCCAGGTGCTCTTCAAATGTGTGCTGACCCTATTTCATAAAGTAGTTTAAAGATCACTTTATAACAGCAGTAAAGAAACAGGGAGAGAGGATCCTAATGGGGATTGACTGGTTTCTGGCTGGTAAAAGGGATGGAACTTCTTTCCAATAAAATTAATCAAATTAAAGCAGTCGCAGCTGCATAAAGCCTGCCACAGTGGCTAGTGCTTATGCAGAGCAGAAACAGGATGGGGGTTTTCTTGTCAGGGGTAGGGAAAAGGGTATTTATTTTTGTCTGGGAGTGTCTTGCCTTGTCTTCACCTCCTGGCAGTATTATCATTTCACTTCAGGCTGCAATAGGCAAGCAAACTTAGCACCACTCCTGCTTCCCCTACAGCTCAGCTGCCCTCTCCTCCCTCCCAGCCCCTGCTACATGGAAGGCAGGCTGATTTTTCCTAGCACTGCTTCCAGTATTAGAAGACACCTTTCCTCCTTGCCAGAAAATTCTGCAAATCACGTTGTCATCATCATCATCATCATCATCTGTCTGCCACCACCCTAACCTTTAAACTCAGTGCTGTGCTGACAGACCAGCCATTTACAGAGCTCTGCATGCTGCCTTGATAATTAATGCAGGTGAAAGAGAGTGCAGCCTTTAATCTTTGATAGTATTTTAAATTGGGATTTTGGTGGAGATTTGCAGGGGTTAGCCTCCGTGTTTCTTTCTGTGGTACAGGCATTTTCTTTGAAAAGAATCAGGAGCTGCAGGGTTCCCAGCCTCCCTTCCCAAGTGAAAGTTATTTTCACAGCTGTGCCAGACTTCACAGCTTCAGGGCTCTTTATTTCACTATGACAGACTGTTTTCTGTGCACAGGACTTTTTCACATGCCTAAGTTATCTTGCAGAGGATCTGCTCTGCAAACAGCCATTTGAATGAAGCCTGTTTCCTCCAAGGCTTTTTTGTATCTTTGTATTTGCACCTCTTCAAATGCAATTTCACCTGTTCTTCCTGTCCACTGTCTCTTGTCCCTCAGAAAAGAGAGGGAAAGAAACAATTGTCTCTGTTGGGAAGTAACACAGAGCAATGAGCAGTTTTTGTGTCAGGATCTCGGGTGTCTTGAGGATTCATATTCTTTAGCAGGAGAAGCCACTAGGACCCAAACACTCAGAAATCAGGAAGAAAAGTCAAGATCATTCAAATTTTTTTTTTAGTATTTAATTTACAATCAAAGCAGCCATTTTTGCAAGATGTTGCAAGATGATTTCACAATAACATCAGTCCAGCAAGCAGCTTCTTTCATGGCAAACTTCTGTGTAAGGATGGCAACACAAACTATAGCAGCCTGATCAGGAGTTAATTCCACATGCCAAGCTGTTATCTGGTGGTTTGATGGCCTATTAGGATCACTTAAACTTTAAGAAGAATTCATTATAGACTGACAAATACTTTTTCTTCTGTGTTCTGCATATCATCTGTAGCTGGAAAGAAAGTCATTATGCTGAAATGAGTGGCAATAGGCACATCAGATACAACTCTACTCACCTTAATCAGGTTTATCCAACTGCAGCCTATTTTGCTTGGAAAATAAAAGCTGGCTTCTGAGATCAATCACTAGCAACTGACTGATGCAAACAGAAAATGCCACACTCCCCTGCTGTAAGCCACTTTAAAGTTCACCATTGTGAAGATCATTAAAGCAAGAGTTGGGATTTTTTCCCCCCTTAAAAAAGCAAACAAAAACTAAATTGTCATGACAGAAAAAAGTAGTTCAAGCTTGCTATCATACATTCTTGCCAGGGAGAAGGAAAAACAAACAAACAAAAAAAGATACCACTGCCCTTTGAATTTCTTATTTGCATTTGTGCTGGCAAATTGCAGGTGATTCTTTGCTGTTTAAATGCAGCAGAAATACTGCATTCCAACCTTTGATTGAGCAGTTACCACAGCAATTTTAATTCACTTTTGCATTTCATCTTTGGGCTTAAAAAGCTGCAATTATTCCCCTTTCCCCTCAATATTCACGCTAGAAACACAATGCTGACTGGCAGTCCAGTTGCAGTTGACACTCCTGTTTGCTTGGCCATGGAAATATTGTCTCAGTTAAAACTCCAAGGAGAATTAAGAAGGGGTGACATTAGAAATAAATTCACAAAGTAGTGAATGGAGAAAAATGAAATTCTGGTGTAGATATTATGTTGTGGTTTAAAGTGCACTTGCATCACTAAAGAATTTTCTAATGGTTTGAAACTGGATCATAAAAAAATACGTGCTGAGCCATTGACTATGTGTTTTATTCTTCTTACCTTCCTCCGTTACATCACAATTGAAAAAAAAAAACAAATCCTAAATCCCACCCACACAGATGGGTCACCTCATTTGGGGGCTCATGCATCTGACCTTGCTGAGCTCTGGGAGGCTTCAGGCTGATGGAAATGGCTGATTCCAAGGACTTCTCACACAATTTCCTTTTGAAATTCCTTTTTTAGCCAACTGTGACGGACAAAAACCCTCTAACAGTTTAAAGTTAATGTTGCTCTGGGTGTGTGTATCACCTATTTCACTTTATTTGGCTCAGGCTGGAGCCAAGATGTGAGTCCTGGCAGTGCCAGTGACCTGCTGGATGCCTGTCAGGTGTCTCCCCTGTGCTGGAGTAGCAACTAAAAATTGCAGCTTAATGAAGAACTGAAAGACACGCGTAAAGGACTTAAACAATGATGAAACAAACAAAAAAAAAATATATCAAAGCTTTTAATTTCACTTTAAGCACTTTACTTTCACCCTCAGAAATTCTTATCAAAGCCAGGCAGATGTCACTGCCTCCAGGGGTCTCAAGTCAGAGCTTCCCGATTTGAATTGACTCCACAAATTTGCCTTCAACACCACAGAGCAACGACGTAATAACAGCAGCAGGTTTTGCTGTGCTGAAATTTAATAGCACTGCAGAGCTGAGTGCTTTCCAGTATCCATTAGGCACTGTACAATTGTAAATGCAAATAAATCCCTGCACAAATGCCACCATGCTTCTGCATACTGGTAAGATGAATGACTATTAGGTTACACAAACATTTATTTCCATGGCAAAATACTAGCACAAACCTTCAATTTTGGGCTCTGTACTAGTCAGGAGAGGGTTTACAAAGCTTATAAATAAATTGTGCTCCCAGTCCCACCAAGCCATGGGGTGGGCAGAACTGTTGTGGAGCTCAGCCTGTGTGAGTCTCCCTTCTCCCCAGATAAAGGTGGGGATCGCTGGGCTTTCATGTCAGGTGCTTTGTCTGGTTTTCTT